ATGGGACTGTCATGTGGGTAAAAAAGTCATATAAAGTGCTTCCAGGGACCACATGTCATAACAAAGAGTTACAGATACAGATATCAATGTAGGCAGCCATCTTTCTTCAGGTAGAGACTGGCTATTATGATGTCCATTTGCTTCCTGGGTTGTTGTTGCTGGAGTTCTGCCCTTGTTGGATAGCCCCAGCCAATCAGAACTCTTTGTGGGCCACGGGCACATTTAACCATGGCACAACCAGCTGGCACCCTCTCTCTCTCTCCATTGCTGGCCTAATCCAAACTGCTCACATTCGTAACCAATAAAGTTGTGACCTATTTAATGTGAACTTATTTAAAGATAACTATGAGAAATGCTGGGCTGAAGTAAAAAAAGATTTAGAAATATGGTCAAACCTGAAGCTTTCATTGCTAGGCCGTATTGCTGTGATTAAAATGAATGTATTGCCTAGAATGTTGTTTCTATTTCAAACATTGCAAATTGTGGACAAGATGGACTGTTTCAAGAAGTGGCACAGAGACATTTCCAGATTTGTCTGGCAGGGCAAGAAACCCAGAATAAAATTTAAGATATTAACTGATGCAAAGGAAAGAGGTGGATTTGCCCTGCCAGACTTAAAACTTTACCATGAATCAGCAGCTTTCTGCTGGTTGAAAGAGTGGCTACTTCTTGAAAATACAGACATTTTGGATTTAGAAGGTTTTAACAATGTTTTTGGATGGCATGCATACTTATGGTACGATAAGGTCAAAGCACATAAAGCATTTAAAAATCATATTGTAAGGAAAGCATTGTTTAATGTTTGGATAAGATATAAAGACTTACTTGAAAACAAAACCCCAAGGTGGCTATCACCAATGGAAGTGAAAGCTTTGAAAAGGCTTAATATGGAGGCCAAATGGCCGAAATATTGGGAAATTCTGGAACAAGAAGGAGATAAGTTGAAATTGCAGAGTTTTGAAAAATTGAAAGATAAAGTGAGAGATTGGCTTCATTATTATCAGATAATGGAGGTTTATAAATTGGACAGGAAAATTGGCTTCCAGGTGGAAAAGTCAAATTAGAAACAGAGTTGTTGGAATCCAAAACTAAGAATTTGTCAAAGATGTATAACTCGCTGTTGAAATGGAATACGCAGGATGAAACAGTTAAATCAGCTATGATTAAGTGGGCTCAAGATATTGGTCATAACATTATGTTTGCTGACTGGGAACAGTTGTGGACCACCGGTATGAAATTTACGGCATGTAATGCCTTAAAAGAAAATATTATGAAAATGATTTATAGGTGGTACATGACCCCAGTCAAAATGCAAAAATTTACCACTTGCCTGATAACAAATGTTGGAAATGTAAAGAAACTGAAGGTACTTTTTTCACCTTTGGTGGACGTGCCCAAAGATTAAGGCTTTCTGGGAAATGATATATAATGAAATGAAAAAGGTATTTAAATATACCTTCCTTTAGAAACCAGAGGCCTTTCTCCTGGGCATGGTGGGCCAATTGGTGCCAAAGAAAGACAGAACATTCTTTATGTATGCTACAACAGCAGCAAGAATACTCATCGCAAAGTATTGGAAGACACAAGATCTACCCACCTTGGAAGAATGGCAGATGAAGGTGATAGACTATATGGGACTGGCAGAAATGACTGGTAGAATCCGAGACCAGGGAAAAGAGATGGCAGAAGAGGATTGGAAGAAATTCAAGAATTATCTTAAGAAACATTGCAAAATTAATGAATGCTAGAATGATGTTGGTTTAGAAATTAAGTGGATTACAGCTGTAAAGATTAAGTCAAAAGAAAAGAAAGGTTAACAATTAGATAAAATTAAGGGTGAGGATTTGCTGAACTAATATTTGAAATTGGAATGCAGAAAGGGGAGGTATGAGGAGGTCGGTGAAGTAAGTTTTAAGAAAATAAGGATTTGAAATTATACTTGTATTTTTCCCCTCTCTTTTTTGTCTGTGTTTGTTTGTTTTACTGTGTCTGTTTATATAATTTGTGAAATTTCAATAAATATTTTATAAAAAAAAGTTGTGACCTATTTGAACCCATAAACCAAAATACTTTGTGTCCGTGTGCTTTATTGTTCTCCTGGGAACTTTGTGGCTCATGTGGCTTGGAACTTGTGGCTTGGAACTTGCCATGCAATTCAATTCTTTTGCTCTTGATGAAGAGTACTGTGTTTGAGTAGTACTCAACTTTTTGAAAAAGCTCACCTGCTTCCCCTTGTACAGGAGACACAAATGTGCATCAGACATTTGAATTGAACCACAAGGTAAGAGACAAGAGTGGAACAATAAAATAAAGCAACTGACTGCAAAATATACATTGCCATACTTAATACATACAGCTCACAAAATATTGTCCACAGTAGCTATTTCTGAACTCAAATAACTTAAGTTGCTTAGCAATCCCACAGTGCCCCCTTCAGTTTGCAATGTATCAGTGATTTTAAGGAACAGAAGTTAATTTAAATTGTTAAAGAAGTTAGCTGGGGCAGGCAAATGTGCTCTCCCCCCCCCCCATAAGGAAAGCGAAAAAGTAGCAAAAAGACAATATGCACTACAAAGGTAATTAGTAGTGCTGAGCTGAATTCCCCCCCCCAATAAAAACAAGCATTTGTCACACAACATAAGAAGTCAGATATTATTTCACAGAATAAGTCTCTGAAGATTTTGTGAATATACTTATGCAAGTTTGGAAAGTTTTATTACTATTTTAATTTAATTAGTTATAAACTGTGTGTGGATAAGGAGAATGCCTGTTTCACAGTGAAAACCAAATTATACTGATGAGACAATGTAACTTTCCATTTTGGAATTCTTGTGTTTTCTTATGTTGCAAGGAGCAATGCCCCAAGTGTGCATATCCCCAAGCTCAACAGATAATACTAAACACTGCAGACATCCCCAGCACACACACAAAACAAGTATAGAGAAAGTTTATCCCTCTTGAAGAGAACATGAGGACTGAAATACTTAGATTTCTCTCTCCCTCTTTGCTTTCTCTTTTCCCTTGGTTTTATAATCTTCAAAGATTTCTGCTTCCATGGAGCCTCCAAATGAATACCAACATTCCTACTGGCTCCCACATCACATCTTCTGACGCCTGATAGCCCAGAGTTAAGATTCCGCTATTTAATTAACTGCTTAATATCCTAAAGCTCAGACAATTATTTTTGTTTCCTTCAACCCTCCCCCCCCCCCGCAAAAGTGGCTACCTAGATAAGTGCTGTCAAATGAGGGAATCAACATTTTCTCCATCTTTAAATCAGGTACAAGCAAAAAATTTAATAATTTATTTTCTTGTTATCCATTAATTGCATCTATGTGCATGGTATGAATTTAATGCCATTTTGTTCCAATCATCTGTGAAGAATATTATCTTGTGTGAAATGTTCTAGTTTTGTAGGGTTCATCCTCTTCAAACTGGAGTAACATATGACTAAATGCCAATAACCTTATGTTTTTATAGCAAAGAGTAGGGAGGGATACAGTAGAGTTTTATCAAGTTTGTCTAACCACCTTAAAGCTATCCAGATTGGTGACCAATTTGTGGTTGCAAACTTCCAAAGATTACTAACAATTTTCTGTGTGAAAGCTTTTTAGCTGTCCCGATTCTCCCACCATTCATTGGTTGGCCTCAAGATCTAGTATTATGGAGGAGGGAGAAGAATTTTCTTTTTTACCCCTTTTCCCAACCAAAAAGCCAAGCAGTATAACCTTTCCTTGAAGGGAATTTGTTCCAGCTCTATGTTCATTTTGGTTGCCTCCCCTCACCCCTTTCTGAACTCTACAAGATACTTTTTGAAGTATGGCAACCAGAGCTGTGGACAGTATTGCAAATGTGGTTGCACTATAAATATTTTTGAACCATTACAAAATTGGTGGGTTCATTTTTAATCCCTTTCCTAACTGATCCCTCATATGGGATTTGGCTTTTTCTCAGCTGCTACTCACTAAGTCAACATATCCATTGAGCTATCATGATGAATGCAGGTTATCTTGGGCTTGCTGATCTGAAGGTTGGCGGTTCGAATCCCTGCAATGGAGTAAGCTCCCATTGCTCTGTCCCAGCTCCTGCCAACCTAGCAGTTCGAAAACATGCCAGTGCAAGTAGATAAATAGGTAGGAAGGTAAGTGGCATTTCCGTGTGCTCTGGTTTCCATCAAGGTGTTCCATTGTGCCAGAAGCGGTTTAGTCATGCTGGCTCTACATGACCTGGAAAGATGTCTATGGACAAATGCCGGCTCCCTCAGCCTGAAAGCGAGATGAGTGCCACAACCCCATAGTCACCTTTGACTGGACTTAACCATCCAGGGGTCCTTAACCCTTATCTTTATTGGTCAGTCATTGTCTGCTATGACCCCATTGGGTACATGTGTGCAGTCAGGGCTTTTTGTCTCATAGTGCATCACCTCTCACTTGTTAACAGTGAACCATATTTGCTATTTTGTTGCCCATTCAGCCAGTGTGGAGACTCCCTTTAGAAGCCTGTCACAATCCTTTTTCTGGTTTTGGCACTTACATGCTAGTCTTGACTAGGGAAGGGATTCCCACAAATGACAGCATGTTCCCTCAGATGTTCCCTCAGATAATCCAGAACTTTGACACTAGAATGTTACAGAAAAGGTTTTATTTATTTAACAATTTTAGTCACAACTTTTTGGCTCAGATTATTTAAATCATATTTTCTCCTTTCTACTTGTTTGTTTGTTTTTATTGTATTGCTCTATACCTAAGTCACGCCATAACTATAGTTCTGCAGGAAATTTTCAAAAACAAAATACTTAAACAATTTAAAATTCCCCATCAACAAGGATATAATTAGCTAAAGCAGCACTAAGGACTATTATTATAAATCAGACCAGAAGGCTAAAATCGACACATTCAATATATACAATGGTTTAGTCTCAACTTTATAATGCATAGTAGTAATGCCACATTGATGTTTCTTTCATCGGGGTCTTTGGGTTACAGTTCAATGAAGGCACAATGATTCTGAATGAAAAAGAAAATATCTCAGGAACAGTTGTGACAGAGTTCGTGCTAATTGGATTCTCTAGACTGCAGAAGATGCACCTGCCATTGTTCTGCCTCTTCCTGGTCATATATGTGTTGTCAGTAATTGGCAATGGTCTGATCATCCTCATAATCCGCCTCGATGCCCGCCTACATACCCCTATGTACTATTTTCTCAGCAACCTTGCCTGGTTGGAGATGATCATCACCACCACAGTCACACCTAAGATGCTCAGCCTTCTCATCACAAAGAAAAAAACCATCTCCTTCTTTGGATGTGCTGTTCAGCTAACACTGTACTTCCTTTGTGGGACCACAGAAGTTCTCCTATTAGGAATCATGTCTGTGGATCGCTACTTGGCCATCTGCAACCCACTGCGCTACACGGCCATAATGAGTAACCAAGTCTGCATGCTCATGATGCTTTTCTGCTGGTTTGGAAGTTTCTTTTGTGTTGCGATTAGTGCCGTTTTCAAGACAGGCCTTCCTTATTGTGGCCCCAATGTCATTGATCATTTCTTCTGTGATACTGGCCCCTTGTTAAAGTTGGTCTGTGCAGACACCACTCTGGTTGAAACCGTAGAATTTTCCTCATCCTGTTTCACACTCCTGAGTTCCGTCTCTGTGACAGCTGTCTCCTACCTGAGCATCATTTTCACTGTGATCAGGATGCCTTCAGCGCAAGGCAGGAGGAAAGCCTTCAGCACATTCAGCTCCCATATCACTGTGGCCATCCTCTATTATGGCAGCTCCATATTCATCTATGTCAGACCACCTGGAAGTTCTTCTATGAATTTTAATAAGGTGGCCACTGTGTTCAACTCTGTGATAACTCCATTCCTTAATCCACTTATCTATAGCTTTAGAAACAAAGTTGTCAAGGATGTGCTAAAAGATGCAGTGAAGAAAATTGGTGCAATATTTAGGAAAACAGTCGATTAGGCATCTCTTGCTTCTTTGTCACTCGAGTTCCTAACTTAACTTAGAACCTTTCTGTTATGCCTTGTCAAATATCATCCTTTCTCAAGTACTTCTTAGAGGAGAAGGAACTGCAAAAGTGCTTCAGATAATAAATATCAGATTTTCTGTGTCTGCTTCCTTAGCTGCTGCTGCTAACAGAGCACCATTTTGATGGCAGCACATCATGTATAAGCCAGCTGTCACTACTGGGGTCACTAGCACCATCGGACAGAGACCTAGCTCTTGCAAAATGAGAAGACTGGAGTTTTAGTCCCAACTGTGATCAATAACACCTCATCAGAAAGCCCAATATTTATGATTGAGTTATCATTTTTGTGGACATTGTCATACTTTAGTACTTGCTTTCTTCTGCATCTTTTAATATCCAGAGTACCAAAACATTCTTTAATAGCAGGACATGGTGTTTCAGTCTTAAATAAAGCCATAAACCATGTAAAAATGTTGAAATAGTTCATTCTTCACAGCTTCTTTTCAATTCCTATAAGTTCTGGAGATGGGGTGAAATATCTTAATGAATGCACTTGGTTTCCCAATAAATATAAAAAAATAATCATGTCAGAAGACTTGCAATAGACATTGCATCCAGGCAACAGTAATCTGGTAAATGATGTAAATCAGGCAGGCATTCCCACAGGAATTTGATGTCCGTGAGGTTTAACTGTATGAATTATTGTTAAATGCCAATATTCACTGGTTTTCTGACATGTTAACAATTACTATCCAAAATCTGGTGAATGTTACCCATACTAGTTTGCTTTAAAATGTTTATAGTGATATATATATGAGCATTCATATACTGTATTTGACAAGCAGAGAAGTGTGCAACCAAAACCTTGACATTCATAGAAATTGACAAAATTTGCATGTAAATGTTGACACCAACACTCATCAAATCTGGACATTTCCCACAACATGGGGGGGGGGGAGAGAGAGCTGTGAACCTTCTTCATTGCTGCTCATTAACAACAGCTCTTTGGGAAGGGAAGGAGAATGGGTACAAACTCATGCCATCCACTTCAGATTTTCTACCACCATCCAATAATTAAGGTTCTAGATTTCAGATATCAAGGAACATATGTAGTAGAAACAGTTGGAAGCTTGATGATTCCAATTATATAATTGTTGGGCCTATAATTTAAAATATACTCAGTTAATATCTAAAAGCAGCAGGTTCTTGCATACCTATGTATATCTACCAACAATAGCATCCTGAATATAAAATTTTATAGTGACGTTGATTGTTAAAAAGTTTAACAAATGTTACAGAATAACTAGAAATAACCAGCATATTATCAGTTTGTTTTAATTTAATTCAGAGACATATGGTCTCCTAACGCCCTTGGGAGCCTTGGAATTTCAATGTTATTGTCTAGAATCTCTAAAAGTTTCTGCATTCTGTATTTATTCCAATTTATTTGCTCCCCTCCCCATGAGAATAATTAACTTACTACAACTTAATTTCAGTTCTATTGCTCCTTTTCATTAAAATGCATTGCTTTATACATTCATTAAGATTTTCCACAACCCTCTTGACTGCAAGTTCTTTTGAGAAATGTAGGTAAAGACAATTAGAGTAATTGTCTTCAAGGGGTTTAAAGGGGCATGATGCAGCAGTTGTGCATGTAGAATTTTTCAACTTTCATATTCCAAAAATGAGGGGTGCTAAAAGGTTGTAACATGACTTGGGAATTCAAACAGTATTTTTATTAAATTAATACAATTTAGTTTTGCTTGGTGAGTAAAGTGTCTGTAACATTCTATATAAATTATTTAAAAAGATTAGCTGACATTTTCAGAAGGTAAAATTAAATTCTTTGGTTTTCTAAAAGCAGTTTATGTGCTTCATCATCAAACATAGGTTTGCCAAGAGAAATGTGCAATTACTGAAATAATAGCGGATTTTAATTTCTTGCACCTTAAAACATATTTTTAAGAGCCCTCGCTGAAGAAATTTGCAAAAAAATAAGTTCCATCCCCTAAAATGGCACTGCATTGCAGCAGTCTTTCAGTGCAGCTAACCAGATATGTGTATAGAAGCTCAATTTAGGATGCCTGGAGTTCCAGCATGAAAGAAATGCAGAATGCAAATATAAAACATGCAGCAACCACTTGTATAGCATATGCTTTTCATAGGACAAGTCCCAGATACAATTTCTGAATATTGCTGGACATGATCCCTGGGGAGCCTCTGTTAGTCAGCCTAGACAATGCTGAGAAAAATGGACTGACTTGGCATAAGGATACCAGCATTGTCCATGAGGATATAACACAACTCCCCCACAACAAACACAGCCTCTTCTCTAAAGTACTTTTCCAATACTACGTACGAGAAGTATTTCTGCACATAACATGTGTCCTTTCTTGAAACCCATTTTGCTTCAGGATTTTTGTATAAGGTGCACCTACCCCTTGCATTCATGACAACAGTGTTTTCCTCCTGGACATAATTAATGTTCTCCTGTATAAACACCTGATGGACTTGAAAAATAAATTGTATCACTGGTCAAGGCACTTATTTGACCTTCAAACTTGCCATTGCAGACAGTGGAATGGATTCCATTTCCTCATTGGGAGATTTTAAGCAGAGGTTTGATGGCTATCAAACATGGATGCATTGCAAGTGATTGGACTAGATGACCCTCAGGCTCCCTTCCAACTCTACAATTCTGTGATTCTATGATTTTTTCAGAATATTCTGACTCTGAACACTGTTTTTCTATATAAGAAAAAGTGCTCATAATCCCATCATTTACAAACAATTACACCTATGCACCCCCATTTTATACACTAGTAAGAACCACATAATGTGGCGAATACAGAAAAAGGGGACTACTACAATGGCCACACCTGTTTCCACTTTATTTGTGAAGAAGAATATGTTAAGCATCTCTTTGCATAACTACAGAGTGACTTGGTTGCCATAGGAACTAATGACTGGAAGGGGAGCAGAAGGGCACAGGCCCCCCCAATGCCTTCTCCAGGAAAGGGAAAATGCTATCTGCTGCGAGGTTTTTGCCTCATGTGGTAGTGGGTCAATAGTAAGCACCTACCTGCCAATGGGGGTGGCTGGTGTCTGGACTGAGGGGAGCATTTACAAGCACACGGCCGCACGCGCACACACAACACAAACACACCTGGCTAGCAAGAGTGTAATTTACATAGGCAGGGGCAACATGTTGATATCCCCTTACCTGCACTCCCTCCTGTTCATGTAAATTATGGAACTGATTTGTAAAAATGTTGCACGGAAAAAATATGAGAGACATTACACTTACTTCTGTAAAACAAGAAAATCTTTAATAATAAAGCACAGTGTGTGCCCCCCCCAAAAAAAAATATGCTTCCCACTGCAACTTTGGGGCATACCGGAGCTAGTGTGATATGAATGAGCAAGATGGCACTTCCTGTGTGTGTTGTCCCCCCTGCAATCACAATGCAAAATTTTGCAATGGCGGGGGATTCAGCAGCTGTGGGCAACCTTCAGGGCAGCTACAAGGAAGACCCACCAGGGTTGTGAGTAGCCCACATGTTCTTCAGACTTTTGCCTCTGTGGTGGTGAATAGAAAACCCTGTCACCTGGAAGCCCAGTCTATCTCTGGTCATGGCAGTGAGATCAGACATCAAGGTTTCACCAGTGGCGTAGCGTGGGGGGTGCCAGGGGGGCCGGCCGCACCGGGCGCAACATGGGCGGGGGGCGCGCTCGCACTAGCAGCTCTCTGCCCCTACTAAAATACACGGGTTAGGGAGCCCGCGATCGCTCGGCTTGGCGAGGAGGTCGCGGAAGGGGGAGAGCGAAGCCTTCTGCCACGGGCAAAAAAAGGAGAGGAAGCTGGGCGGGCGGGCTGGCTGGCTGGCTGGCGGGGGTCTGGCTGCGCCTGCTGCTGCCGTTGCCGCTGCTGCCGGGGCTTTGACAGCTTGGCGAAGCGGAGGGAGAGGAGCTTTATGGTAATTGCGGCTCTCTCTCCACTGGCCGCCTGGGTAGTGAGCTGAGCCGAGCAGGGAGTCTGGCGAGGGGGCGGGAAGAGACTTTTCCACCTCACCTGGTCAAAAAGGAGAGCGAAGTCTCCTCAGGGCGCCCTCAGGCAGGGCAGGGCAAGGCAAGCAGAGCGAGGAGGAGAGAGAGGGGAAGGGGGGGAGCAGCCAGGAAACGCTGCGTGTGATGTAATTAAATGAGCACAAACTTGGAGAAAGGAAAGGCTAACAGTCAGCTCCAAGTACCAGAAGTTGCTGCTTGGGGAGAAAACTGTCTGCCTTCGGTTAAGGGCGCAAACTTCCTTTAATATAACAGTTTCACACAGCTGAATCTCAAGGGTTGTGATAAGAAATTCCCATGTGGATTTCCTCGCTTTAATGAGCACAAGAGAATGAATAGGCTACTGTAATCAGTACCGCTATGTGTGTTAAAGAGCTGGCTTCAGGTGGGCAATTAATTAACCGTTCAGCGGTGTAGTATGATATTGTCCTCTTTTTGCCTGCACTATAATTTTGTACTTTTTCACTAGTTAAACAGGATTTTCTTTTCTTTATTTGTATGATTTTCTTATTTTTTTAATATACAGGGTGAATCTTTTAAAAGAGGACCCATGGAACATGTGTGCGCTGTATTCACAGGGCCTCTTTAAAGGACTCACCCTGTATTTTGACTGCGTCAGACCAACACGGCTACCTACCTGAATCTAGGTTTTTCTTTATCAGACTATGACTTGAAAGGCAAATGGTGATGATGAGATACCTCAACATAGTTTAATAGCTTTCAGTTTATAGTTTTGAAGTTGGAGCCATACAGAAAGGGACATAGCGAGAGCTGCTAAACAACAAAGATAAACTAAACTGTTTCTGATTTGATCAGCTTTTGAGTTTCTCATCTAGAAAATCTGGAACACATTTTCTTGCCTTCAGCTGTTGCCCCACTCCAACCGCCTTGTGTCACTGCAGTGCTGTAAGTATTGATGGTTTCATACTGTCATCCATTTTAGAATTCATTCAGAACATGAGGCTAATTCCCTGCCTCTTCTCTGTTTTGGATGCAGTTAGCAACAATGAATGAAAAGAAAAAATATGGGGGGTGAGCAATGGTTTCCATGATCAAAAATATTTTAGTAAGCTCTTTCTTTGGGGGATAAATGTGTTTAAAGCAGGTATTGGGAACCTTTCACCCTCCAGATGTTACTGAAATACAACTTGGATCATTACTGGCCATTGACCATGCATGCTGGGGCTGCTGGGAGTTGTAGTTCAGCAATATTTGGATGACCAAATATTCCCCATATCTGGTTCATAGCATGTTTGATCCATGGGTTCCATGTCTATTGGATCTCCCTGACTTCAACTCAGCAACGGTAAAAGAAGTCTGTGGGTTAGCTGGCTATGGGGTTGTTCATAACCAATGCTAAGATGTATTTCATTGATCTTTTGTTCTTATTTCAAATTTCTATACAAATCCTCATATTTACTTTGATTTGTGCATTAGATAAAAATTTACGGCAAATTATTGATGGGCACGATGATAGTAGCCACAAATGTTGATTTCCTTGAAGTTCATTGCATGGCTTTTTGGGGGGGGAAGAGGGAAGTGAGAAGAAACTTCCATATCTGTCATGACATTCACATAAAAATTCTGAAATAATAATAATAATAATAATAATAATAATAATATGCCACCCATCTGACTGGGTTTCCCCAGACATTTCTGTCTTTAAAAGACAGAATATACAGACTATAAATAATCCAATAAATCAATAGAAAACAACAACAACCAGTTTACAGCTATATCTGAATTAAAATAACCACCAACTCCAACAAATTTAATCAACCCCAATCCAGCAAAAACAAAACAGAGGAACCAAAATTAAAACAAAAAAGTTTGAATATAAATTGTATGGATTTTGTATGCAATTTATTTGTTGCATTTTCTATTTTAACTAAAAGCTGTCCTAAGATCTTGAACACTCTAACGAAATGAAACAAAAGACAGCCTCCATGCACCAAGTCTTTAGCTAGTTGGTGACTGTGTGCATTGAAGTAAGATTCAATGTTCTGTTTTCTGAAAGAGGAATCTTACCAAAATTATTTTATCAGAAATGTTTGGCCCAGATTTCTTATATCATTCTTGTTCTTTCACTCTTTTTATTGTTTCCAGCCTCATATGCACAATCCTTAGTGACATCAAACTTTTGTGGAGGGGTTCTGGTTACAGTTTCATGGCACAATGATCCTGAATGGAAAAGAAAATATCTCGGGAACAGTCGTGACAGAGTTTGTGTTGCTTGGCTTTTCTAGTCTTCAGGGGATGCAGTTGCCATTGTTCTGCATCTTCCTGGTCATGTATACATTATCATTAATTGGCAATGCTCTGGTCATCCTCATAATCCGCCTTGACTGCCGCCTTCACACACCCATGTACTATTTTCTGAGCAAACTCTCCTGGCTGGAGATTATCATCACCACCACAGTCACACCTAAGATGCTAAGCCTCCTCATCACAAAGAAAAAAACCATCTCCTTTTTTGGATGTGCTATCCAGATAACACTGTACTTCCTTTGTGGGACCACAGAAGTTCTCCTGCTTGGTGCCATGTCTGTGGATCGTTACTTAGCCATCTGTAACCCACTGCGCTACACGGCCATCATGAGTAGCCAGGTCTGCATGCTGATGATGCTCTTCTGTTGGTTTGGAGGCTTCATTTGTGTAGCTCTTGGTATCATCTTCAAGTCGGGACTACCTTACTGTGGCCCCAATGTCATCGATCATTTCTTCTGCGACACAGCCCCGTTGACACTGTTACTCTGTGCAGACACCACCCTGGTTGAAAATATTGAATTTGCCTCATCGTGTTTCACACTCCTGAGCTCCGTCTCTGTGACAGCCATCTCCTACCTCTGCATCATTGTTACTGTCGTCAGGATGCCCTCAGCCCAAGGTAGGAAGAAAGCCTTCAGCACCTGCAGCTCTCATATCACTGTGGCCTCTCTCTATTATGGCAGCTCCATATTCATCTATGTTAGGCCAGCTGGAAACTCTTCTATGGATTTTAATAAGGCAGCCACTGTTCTTAACACTGTGGTTACTCCTTTACTTAATCCAATTATCTATAGTTTTAGAAATAAAGTAGTCAAGGATGTGCTAAAAGATGCAGTGAAGAAAATTGGTGCAATATTTAGGAAAACAGTTGATTAAGCACTTGCTTTCCCAAACATCATGGATTGAACTCGTGACCCCTTAGTACCCTTGATCTTAATATAGTAACCTTTCTGATCTGCCTTCTCCATTGTCATGCCTTCCCAAGTATTCATTCAGCTAGAAGAGATTGATAAGGCCTTTGGACAATAAATATCATATGTTCAGTAGCTGCTTTCTTCAGTTCTCTCTTCTTTTTCTCTACAGACAGAGATTCTGCACCAGCAAAATGAGAAGGCTGCAGTGTAGGAACTTAAATGTGTATGAGTAATTCATTTGTAAACTGAGCAGGCAGGGTCAACAGGATAGAGGAAACAGGAATGTTTTGATGGAATATTGATGGAGGGGATGAACAAACTGTACCCCAGGGCAGACCTCTGTAATCTTTCATAAAATGGCACCCTGCACAAGGCCAGAATTCAGCACCCCAAAAGAGATATTCATGTCTTTTTTTCAGCTAGAACTCACAAGAACTCCGTTTTGGCATCTCTCAAGTGCCCGCCATTGCCATTATAAGAGAACAAGCTTTCATTCATTCTTTCATTCTTTCATTCAGCTAGGTGTTTATGGTCAGTGTTTGAAATTCCCATTGTTCTAGGTGTATTTTGCTACAGGGAATTTCATTAGATTGAGCAGTTTCTGATCTCTGTATGCAGTACTGTGCCTAAGATTTCAGATTAAAACTGCAGAGTGGGAGGAAAGGAGAACCTTTTTCTGCCTTCCCACTTCCAGCTGCTCTCTGTAGGCTGGAGAAGAGACCCTCTTAAGAATATTAGGGGAAGGACTAGATCATGGGGGAAATGAACATAATATTTTAGCTGCAGTTCATTCATTTTCAGCTTTGTATTCTTCTTATAAAAAAGTGTGCCTAGACATTCTGTTGTGCCCATAACCTAGGTTTATGGTGCCATTAGCTCATAGCTTTCATCTGTGAAGCTGTGTAATTTATCTATTTGCCTACCTTAATCAGATAGCATAAGGTTATAACACAGTATCAGGTCTCCCAATAGCATACAGCATCAACTTTAATACTTCACCTCTCAGCTTTTTATTCCAGACAGCTGCAAATCTCAGAATAGGGTGTTCTAGTTTGACTTCTGTATAACCTACTGTTACATAGATTGATAAAACACCAACTTCATTTTCTCCCAAGGTGAGATAGGAGCCTTCTCCTATAATAACCCATTTAAGAACCACGAATTGATTAGGAAGACAATAATGTACAAAAATGGATACACTATATGATGTGCAGACATACTGCCAATATATTCATTTTGTTGTGTTTTTATTACGTTGGAACCCACCCAGAGTGGCTGAGGCAATCCAGTTAGATGGGTGGGGTATAAGCAATAAATTACTGTTGTCTTCAATTATTTGTATGACTAGTTTAAAAGTTCATTCAATTCCATGGGTTGAATGCTGGTGGGGATTTATTCTGCTTCAGTTCCCTCCCTCTTTTGTTCTGGTTTCTTTCTCCTTTATGTACCATCTCACTCCATCTCCCCTCCTGAAGTCAGAACTATGCTTTTAAATATTCTTATATTCATATAAGACAATGCGATATATTTTATTCAAATTCTGTTAAATGATGACATAATATATGCAAAAAAGTGTGAAAATCAGTTCATTATTTGTAGCTCTGCTTCTTTGTAAAATGTTATGTAATTTCTGGGTATGATGAGTTATAGTCACTAACTAAAGGGACGATATTCCAGTAAAGGTCAGGAATGCTTCTGTCACAAAACATGTGATTGACATCGTAACATGACCCAGTGTGGTATAGTGCTTAAGTGCGGTAGGCTCGTAATCTGGTGAACTGGGTTCATTTCTCCGCTCCTCCACATGCAGCTGCTGGGTGACCTTGGGCTAGTCACACTTCTTTGAAGTCTCTCAGCCCCACTCACCTCACAGAGTGTTTGTTGTGGGGGAGGAAGGGAAAGGAGAATGTTACCCGCTTTGGGACTCCTTTGGGTAGTGATAAAGCGGGATATCAAATCCACTAACAGCTGACATTCACAGATTTCATCAGGGGTTTAATACTTTTTCATTTAAATTTATTCATTTAAATTTCATTTAAATTACATTGACTCTCATCAAATTTCTTTCTTATAATGTGTATGCAAACATAGGGGAAGGAAAATGGAAACCTATTTCAAATCAATAACTTTTTAAAATATTGCTAAATCCATTCCATGTCACCTTTATATGCATGAAGGAAGAATGAGGACAAACACACATGGCCCACTTCAGATTTCCTTAATAGAGTCAAACATTAATGTATTATTAGGCTATTTTAGTTCATTTTGATGATACAGTGGTATCTTGGGTTACAGACGCTTCAGGTTACAGACGCCACAAACCCATAAAAAGTACCCGGGTTAAGAACTTTGCTTCAGGATGAGAACAGAAATCGTGCGATGGTGTGGCGGCAGTGGGAGGCCCCATTAGCTAAAGTGGTACCTCAGGTTAAGAACAGTTTCAGGTTAAGTTCTTAATCCGAGGTACCACTGTATTTGGTCTCCTAGCTCCCTTGAGAGTGGTAAGGCTCCAACATTATTTTCTACAACCTCAAATATGTTCTGCAGTCATTCAAAGCACTGAATTATTTGTTTTAGTCCCTGTGGGATTAATTAATATACCCCAACTTCATTACTATTCTATAAGGACAGTTAGTTCATTAAAATGTGTTGTACTAAGATCCTCCATAACTCTCCTAACAAAAAAAGGTTATTTTGAAACCTGATGATCATCAATAGAAAATGAACAAAACCAATTCAGCTGATATTAACAATAAGAATATTCCACCAACCCTAATTTAAACATATAAATATTGATATTTCATATTCATATTATTTAATGTCAGATCCAGGTTGGCCCAAGTAGTCTCTCATATGTGGCTAACAGAATTAATAACCAATTACCAGTAGGAATTTTTGGAATTTGCATTTTGCATTTTGGAAACAGAAGTTATTGGATTATTGAACTGGCCATTACCTTTGTCTAGTTGGGGGGGAAAACAAACCAAAATCAATTCCAAAAGAGAAAGAAAGTTGTGGTGTACTATGAGTTGATGTAAGATAGCTGTACCTCTGATAGCTTCTATTTATTTCTACACTCCAAAAATGGAGACCAAACAAAATCTGTAAATGAGTTCCTAAATCCTTGAGCACTGATTATCTGTTTTTAAACCTCAATGAAGGAAAGATTTCAGCTTAGAATTCCAAACCAGTAAAGAACTCACGTGAGGATCTCAGAAGAAATGTATGACCCAAGCTACTAACATCTACTTCATTCTCCTTCCTAAGTACTTCTTTCTGTTCAGTTCAGGCTTCATGACAATAATATAACATTTAGGAAAAAAGATACAGCCCAATAATCCAGCACTAGAGGCTAAAATGGAGAAGATCTCCACAGTCACCATGTATTTTCCCTTTGTGCTCAGGTAAGTTGGCACAAAAGAGACCCACACACTGCAAAACACCAACATGCTGAAAGTGATGAACTTGGCTTCATTAAAAGTGCTAGGCAATTCCCTAGCAAGAAAAGCCACAACAAAGCTGACAAGAGCCAGAAACCCCAGGTACCCAAGAACAGAATAAAACATAGGGACAGACCCTTCATTACATTCAACCACAATTTCTTTAGCCAAAGAGTCCATGTCCAAATGTGGGAATGGGGGAGCAGTACAGAGCCACACAGTACAAAGAGCTCCTTGAATGAGGGAACAGGAGAAAACAATAGAAGCTGCCAGTCTTTTCCCCACCCAGTTCCTTATCCTGGATCCTGGTTTTGTGGCGATGAATGCTAAAACCACTGTGATGGTTTTTGCCAGCACAGAAGAAACAGCCACAGTGAAGATGATGCCAAAAGCTGTTTGCCTAAGGAGGCAGGTTACTTTCTGCGGCCTTCCAAAGAACAGCATGGAGCAGAGAAAGCAAAGCAAAAGGGCGATGAGCAGAGTGTACGTGAGACCACGATTGTTGGCTTTAACAAGGGGAGTTTCCTTGTATTTAATGAATATTTTAAGCACCAAAGCAGTGATCATAGAAAATGAAAATGCCATGAAAGCTAAAGTGATGCTCAAATTTTCATCATAGGACAGAAAGTGTGACATCTTAGGGAGACATCCATCTTGCTCTTCATTTGGATATTGATCTTCTGGGCATTTTATACATTTGTCCATCTCTGGGGACAAAACATACAATCACAAATCAATTCAATGAAACTAGCACAATTGCCCATATATGTAGAGGAAAAGGCATGATCACAACTCAGTCAATGAAACTAGCACATGGGTAGATGTCTGAACCATACAGAATACTGGAGACTTCTACACGTACATATGCCTACAAAATTCCCATATCTAAATATAAGATTTAACACTGCAAGCTTTATCATCTAAATCCACACTAACAACAGATTGTAATATGAGAGGTAATAAACCAGGGACGGAAGTTGAGGGATGTCAGTAGGGAAAAGGGGAAAGTGAAACTTGCATGTAATGTAATGATTGCAGATATTGTTGTAAGAGAAAAAACTCAATAAAAATGATTAAAAAATAAAATAAATCCACACAAACTTAATTAAGCCACTGGTGGTGAAGGGGGATCATGTTCATGTGATAACATGGTTGACACTTGCCTTTTGGATTAGAAATCTTCCCTTCTGCACATGGGTCACAATCGTAGCAACAGAATGGCTCCCCCTCCTTCTTTTTTCTCACAAACCCTGGATGACACACGTTATTACACACAGAAGAAGGTGGTGTCTATTCAGAAATGCAATGAAGGAAGGGCTAGTATACTGAGGATGTGCATCAATTGGTTGTGTGCTACCTAGATTACAAGGCAAATAGGAGTGGTCTGAGTTTTTCTCATGCCCAAATTGAGGGTGTATTGAGCTGGATCATGAACACTCTAATGGTCTGAGTCACTCTGGTACTAGGTTGCATAAAAATTGCCACATTTCTAAAGCAAGGGCTGCATTGTTTTTCACATGGATATACTGTATTTTGCATTTGTTTTCACCACCATCATTATCTCTTTGCAGGGGGAACATAGGAAAGAATCATAGGAATCTGCCATTTACTGATAGATACATTGATCCATCTAGCTCAGTCTTGTCTGCATACAAAACAGATGTTCTACTGATAAGCTTTGGCTCTTCCTCATGGAGAGATCTATCCCAGCAAAAAGTAGCTGTATTCCCAAAACTCCATGGGGTAGGAAGAAGCCCACCCACATCAATGATTCTTGGAATAACAGGGTTTTTACTGGGCCATGACATTTTCCCTACCCAACTCTTTCTTGAGGATCAATGACCTCTTTTGACCACCCCTCCTTCCCCTATGGGATTCAGTGAAGCAATTACTTTTTTCCATGGTGAAGAGGCTGTATCTGCAAAATACAGATACTAGATGAATCTTGTGACTGGTGCACACCTGTTGTATATTCTTATCTCCATGGATCAATCACATTGAAAGTAATGGCATAAGAGAGGACACAGGTTCGATGCAAAATAAGTTCATCATTTCTGGGTCAAGAGATGTGCTCTCCTACAATGCACATTGCACAAAGTTTCACTGTCCTAATGCTTGCTCCATTGAGGCCTTATAGAAGGCTAGTGACTTATATGACAAGGGACAAATGAAACACGAACTATTCTACATATTCCCCTTCTAGTTATTTCTAGTTTAATAAATATTTCAATGCAGTTCACATCTTTAAAAAACCCTAAAGACTAAAATATGTGTTATAAATGAATAGCTTAAAGAAATACATTTTCATTTTTTTCCCCATTCTAAGAGAAAATGCATTTAAATGTGTACCATGGGCTTTTTAACATTGTAAATTAATCAAAAACAGCCAGAACAAACTAGGAGTGGCGCTCTGGACTGATAATGACCCTCACTCTGTGCTGAACCTCCTGCCCCATTGCTCTTCAGGACATGTATGTTCTCTATTTACATTTTTAAGAATATGTGCATTAATTGCATTCTAACCATTAACATCATACTCAGTTTGGCCAATAACCTCATATGGCAAGCATGTTCTCTAAGAGGAACAAGCCAAAACTTCATTGATTCCATGTCCTACATAACTCCACTAGGCTTCAACACAGTGTTTGAATAAAGGACATAACAGTTTGCAAAATATTACTTTATTACATACCAATAGTTCACAACATTTCCTATGCTGAGCTGACGACAGGTGCTCTGTACTCTCCACAGAGATATACTTTAAATTGTTAAAGTTACTTATTTGGAAATCTCTCAGGTGAAAGAACTGTGAATGAGTGTTTCCATATGTTTTAAAGTGAAAATTTCCCATAAGTTAGTATTTTCAAATATATTTGTAAACCACCTTAAAGACCTAGATGATTGGATATAAATCTGGCAAATAAATAAATACATTGAGGATTCGTACTAGAATATTCACTGATATTTTGTACCTGAAACCAAATGTCAGACCATACCTGGTTAAACACTTTGTGCCATGTGATGATCTCCTTGTTAATGGTGAACTGTCTGCCTCCCCATGGACCCATCCTCCCTACTTTCACCTTCATGAAAGATCCATTTGGGAAAGTAATCCAGTTTATAATATCAAATCCACTTTCTAATTCACCTTTTTCATTCAGAGACACCTGATCCCCAATGCTGTTATTAAAAGAGATGCTCCTCAAGAAATGATGAAGCTAAATTTGAAGAGGTAAAATCAGTTTAAATAAAAAAAATAGATAAGAGACAACCATAAAAATATTTTTACAACGTCATTCAATATATTTTATTTTTTTTTGCTTATTTTGGTCATACCTATAGTCCACTTTTCTAACCAGCAGGCTATACAAGACAATTTAACAACAATATAAAAACAATAGTTACAATCAAAAGTATGTGCCAATGAGAAGATTCAGTTGAGACATGAATCAGTGCTTTGCAATGTAGTTTGATTCAGTCTGAACTGATTTGGAGGCTTCTCCATTGACTCAGGAAATGGGGGCATCTGCCTCATTTTTCTGTCCTCCATTCACTACCTGGAAATAAAAAAAAACTACATACAATTTATTTTCCTTTTAACAGAAATAGATGTAATTTGAACAGCACATAAATTTATCCACAGCCTTTGTGCTAGTCACCTCTTACATTGATTTTGGGGTGGAAAGAACAGAAAGGGGACATACTTTCCTGGGTAAAATTGTTCTGTCTAACTATAAGATTGAACTGCCAGTGAGAAACCCCACTCTGCCATCTGCTCTTTCTTCCCCCACCATCCCACCCTGGTATCAGGTAAGCTTGGAGCAGGAAGGAAACTGAATCTGATTAGAAAGCCTCATCCTTATCTCCTTTGTCAACTGTGGGCCAATTTTAGCAGGTTGCTGGGAATGAACACCTGTCAATCAGCTGACATCACACTGACAGCAGGTATTGATTGTTAGGACCACAAAGCACCATTCAGGGCTTCCAAAGAGCCCTGTGTGGTACTTTAAAACACTGCTGATCAGTTGAGGTTTACAGTTATTGTCTATCAGCTGTGATGTTGAACCTGCTTTCTGCAGAGATTGGCTGTATGTTTGAGTTCCCCACACAACCAATCCAACATGTTCAAAGCTAATAGGTAGCAACTTCAGTCCTGCTTTCTGTAGGGATCAGCTTCACAACAAGGAATTCTGACACACAGCCATTCCAACCACATATCTATCTAGGGAAAAACTGGGAAATTAAAGCTAGGTGTTTGGTGATGTGGTTAACACAGTATTTAAACATAAAGGCAGTTGGCTGAGAGGCTGCCTGCTCTTGATGGGGTTACATTCCTTCTGAAGGATGAGATACGTAGCTTGGAGGTATTTCTGTATCCTCTGCTGTCACTTGAGGCTCATGTGGCCTCGATGGTGCAGAGTGCCTTCCATCAGCTTCAGCTTGTGGCCCAGCCTAACTTCTGTTGTCTATGCTCTGGTAACCTCTAGGCTAGATTACTGCAACACATTAAATATAGGGCTGCCTCTGAAGATGGTGTGGAAGCTTCCACTGGTGCAGAATTCAGCAACCAGGTTGCTCACAGGGACAAGACGCTTTGAGCATATAGACTATATGGGATTGGCAGAAATGACCGGCAGAATCCGAGACCAGGGAAAAGAGACGATGGAGGAAGATTGGAAGAAATTTAAGAACTATCTTAAGAAATATTGTAAAATTAATGAGTCTTAGAATGATGTGGTTTTAAAAATTAAATGGAGTACAGCTGTAAAGACTAAGTTAAAAGAAAAGAAAGGATGACAATTAGATAAAACTAAGGGTGAGGATTTGCTGAACCAAACTTTTGAAATGGGAATGCAGAAAGGGGAGGTATGAGGAGGTCGGTGGAATAAGTTTTAAGAAAATAAGGATCTGAAATTATACTTGTATTTTTTCTTTTTCTTTTTTGTTTGTGTTTGTGTTGAGCATATGACACCAATCCTGACCTGACTTCGCTGGCTGCCACTTGTCTTCCAGGCCCAAGTCAAAGTGCTGACTTATAAAGACTTAAATGGCTCAGGACTGTACTACCTCGAGGACTGCCTCTCCCCATATAAACCACCCTGGGACATGCATTCATAATCTGAGGCACTTATTCATGTGCCTTCTCCACCATGAGAGATCCGGAGGGAGACAACATGAAAATGGGCCTTTTCTGTAGTGGCTTCCTATTTGTGAAATGCTCTTCCCAGGGAGGTTCATCTAATGACTTCTCTCTCTCTCTCTATATATATATATAGACGCCAGGCGAAAACGTTCCCATTCAACTAGGCATTGGGCTGATGGATATTCCAAAGCCTTTTAAATATATTTGTGGGAAGGGCTGCGGTTATTGTTTCATTATTTTTGTATTATTTATTTACTTCTGTTTTTATCTTGTGTTTTATTCTGAGAAGCACACTGAGGGGCAGTATATAAAATTCAAATAAATGTATTGCTATGGAAGAAATTGAAACCCAGCAATCTACTTCCCCCTCTAAGCCACAAGGTAATGGTGTTTTGGATGAAATAAATATATATTAGCCAGGGTCAGCCCATCTCATTTTGCCATCTGATGCAAAACAAGCATGTGGCACCCAACCCCATTGCCCAACAAAGCCTCACTTACTGGGGTCTTGCAGCAGTGGTAAAAGTGGGTGTGGAGCTCGCAGAGCTGCGGCCCCATAGGATTCAACCACCGGAGTTGTCTGTCTCAGGCCAGCCATGTATTACACATTTTCTCATGATTGTCAAAATGCTTTGCTTAATTAAAAATTACCTGCCATGGTTGTGAGTTTGGAAGTGCTGCCACTGCTTTGTGCTTGAGATTTAATACATACATTGCATGTAAAGCATGGGCTAACACGTAGGCAGCGGTGTATATACTGTAGCTTTGGGGAGTCATGCTCATTTGAAAAAATGGTCCTGGAAGACTCTCCAGCTTTTCCTGACCGGTGCAAGTTCCATTGCTCTCTACAGACTCCTGGGAATCCACAAGTAAGCAGTCAAAGGCCTGCTGCCAGAAGTCCTTGATAAAACTGTCTCCACTGAGTGAGTAAGGATTTAAAGGCTGAAGGAAATGTTGAAATTCCTCTATCTGATTGGTGTGAACAGCAAAAGACAAGGCTCCTTGAAAGACTTCTATACTCCAGCCCCTGTGAAACTGTAGTGCTGGGAAGTCCCACTCAGCTGTCAAGATCCATACTCTTCCTAGAGATGTCTCTACCATATTTACTGCTTGTATTTGATACAGCAAGAATATAAAACGAAATATAGCTGCAGTTTCTGCAAATACAATTACTGCTTTTGCTTTGTGATCTTTAACAAAGCCGGCTATATCCCCTGATGTATAGTACTCATCAAGCAAGTTGGAAAAGTCTGTCGGAGATGGCATTATGTCAGTGAAAGCCAAACAAAGGCCATTCTGGGAAAGCTTTGGAACCAAGGTCTGCACAAAATTCTCTCCTTTATCATTGCCTGATGTAACTATCCCAACCCATGTCCACTGGAAATGCAGAAGTAATTGGATAATCAAATGGTGCTGATACTCTTCATTGGGAACCACACGGTAGATGAAAGGGAACTGGGTTTTCATACTCTGAGAAGGACCAAATAAGAAATAAGAGACCTACAAGAAAATAAAATAAAGACATATTGCTGAAAACAGATCGGAAGTGTAGTGTGCTTTCTGAGAGAGTGCTATCTGGAGAAATGTTATTTTTCTCTCCCACATCAATTTCTCTCATTTTTTAAGAGTTTTGAAACTGATTTCTCTACATTGCTTCATGGTATTCTAAAATATTATGACTGTTAATAGCAGACTCTGCATCTTGCAATGCTGAGGATCCTGAAAATGATCGGTTCCATTCCATTCCATAGTTCTAGGGCAAACATTGGACATGACACTCTAACTCATCCTTCAAGCAGTCCCCAAAGTATTTTGTAAAGGTAGAAATGTCTCTGTCCAAATTCTAGGATGTGAAAAGCAGAAATGCTGAGAAGGCCTTTCTTGAGCTAAGCCAATACACCACTGTGAAAAACATATAGGATTTCTGACTCCTTGTGGGTAGGACAAAGGACAATCATTTACTGATTGGTATTCTTACCCGCTCGTCACTGTAAGGTCCTGGGTAAACATTGTGAAAATGCAGTATTAAAATCAGTTAGAACAGTAAGCCTGTTCCTACCCAGATAGGGCCTGAGAACATGTCAAACCTCTACAACAACTCATTCTGCAAGGTTTGGGAGAGCTGTTTTCATTTGTTTGTTTGCTTGAGACTCTGTCCTGCCATGTGATGCCCAAAGTGTCCCTGATGCAGCACATGTAGAAGGCATTGAAGCATTGCTCCTGGTGGTTGTAAATTGTCCACAACTCACTTCTATAAAGCAACACACAATCCTGGTAGACCTTCATCTTGATATTGGTAGTTAGAATCACATTCTCCCATACGCTTTTGGGGAGGTGAGTCGTAGCTGACTTGCCACTATGCTTGTTCAGTTCAGAATCGATTAAGAAATTGCTGGTGATGGAAGGATACAATCTTCTTGTGAAGCTTAGATGGGAACCCTATCTTGTTGAGCAGTGTGCAGGGTCCCTTTTGGCTGCCAAGGCCAAAGGCCTTCATTAGGTTTATGAACATGATGTAAAAGAGGCACCTGTGCTTTCGGCATTTTTCCTGCAGCTTACATAGTGAGAAAATCATGCTGATGGTTAACTTCTAAGTTCTAAATAGTGACTCTGTCGGTGAGATAGGAATTTCTAATATAGCCTACTTTGTGTCTGCCCCTTTCTCTTACAGTTTACCACAAAAAGAGCACTGGAACAAGTTTAATGGCCTTAAATTCAAAGAACCATCTCATCAGGCAAGATATACAACAATAAATACATTCCCCCCCCCACACACACACTCAGTGCTCCTTTACAAGCTTCTCCATGCCTCACATACATACCTGAGGAATCTTATAGGGACTTAAGATGGTAGCCATGCAAAGGGAGGTTTCAGAGTCAAGTCCCCCAATGACAGCTATTACATTCTTCTTTGTATCACACATGTAGTTGGGTACCATTTCTTTCAATTTGAAAAGAAGGTTCAGTGTAGTCTGGTAGGTCATCTTTTCATTGAAGTAGCTGTCATAGACGTGTAATCCTAATGTAACATTTGGTAAGATCTTGGGATCCTCGTTAATCTCCTTCACTGCAAACACGAAGGCTAGGACATGCTGGTAATATTTTGTCACTACACTGTAAAGAAAGCATAGGCCACATCACATCACAATAATGTTCCAGATATCATGAACTGCTTGCCATGTTCACATTGTTCTTCCGCAGGCATCTGCTTTCTGGCATGCACATCAGTAGAGCATAAAGCTTTAGAATCAATCTACACACACAGCTTCAAAAACATGAAAAATGTAAGCAAAAATATTGTGGTGAGTTAATTGTTTTAAATTATTTTTTAGTATTACAAGATGCTTTGTTTGGCTGATAAACGGAGCATAGTTAGACTCATAGAATTGTAGAGACTGAAGGGACGCAGAGGGTTATGCAGTTCAGTGCCCTGCAAGACAGAGCTTGTCAACCTTTTGTGAAGGTGGAATTGTGTCAAAGCATCCTTCAATCAGTTCTGCCTCCATGTTCATATTTTAAAATCAGATTGTAGAGAAGGCAATGAAATAAATCCTGAAATAAAGAGTTGTGGGAAATCCAGAAATGGAAAGAACTAATAATAATTTTGTGCCATTTCATATATTCTTGAAATATCCCTGGAAGCAAAAACAAAAAGGAGAAGAGTATATGATATATAACAGAGTATTGCTGATAAGGAGGTCAGGTGGATATTTAGAAATCTATAGAGAAATGGCAGACTCCTAAACAACTGCCTAAATTCACAGTAGACCCACTGGAATTAATGTACTAAAGTTTCTCAAATGCATTGATTCCAGTGATTCTTATCTGAGTATGACCAAACCTAGATATAACACTGTCTTTCTGTTATCTACCTGTGATTGTTAGAGTGTGACCATGAACATTTTTGGGAGTAAAATGATAATTTCCTTACAGGACATCTTCAATAAACTTTAAATTTGGGTGTTGCTTGAAGGATATAGTGTCAAAAAAGGAGAAAAATTGTGAAAATATACTGCCAATGATGAGGTCACCTTGCTGATAATACTCATGTGGGATCTGGAGGGCAACTCTCATGTTGCAAGTAAAGGGAAGTGCCTTGCAATCAGTTAGGGGAAGAAACACCAACCATACGATCAATAGGCACACCAACAAGATCAGCATTACAACTGTAGGTGTGAATCTCTTTCTTCTGTAACAAAATCCACTGCTCCAACCTACTTCTTTAGTATACAATGTTCCCCTATTTAGAGCACACAGTCACAATGTCTCTACATTCTACTGGTTAATGGTGACACTTTGCATCCTATAAAACTCCCAGCAGCACTGCTTGTCCAGTCTGTCACCCTGCAGTCTGAAAAACAAAGGCACGTTTCATACCTGTTTTCATCATGATTGCTTTTTATGAGAGTGGCCACTGAAAATACACGCCATCTTTGGCAAGGAAGAATATTGCCATAATTTTAGATAATTTTAGATAATTGCAGGGTTCATAATTAGGTCCCCAATGCATTCTGCTCATAGACAACAGAGCAGCTGAAGAAAACTTATTTATTAGTTGTAATCTCATAATTTTTGTTTATGGAGTCAGGTACAGCACTAGGATGTGGTGTGGAATTATCCCCAGATAGTATGGACAATGGTGAAGTTAGAAGACTCTCAGATGACCCAAGGAATACATGACCAGTCATAACCTAAAGCAGCTACACAAAAAATGCCACCATGGAACTTGAAACAATTTCAATTTTGTGTTATCTGGAACTTCATATTTGGCCTCCTAGTGGCATATGATCACTAGGTTGCTATTTGCAACCTATTTCAATATGAGTCAATTATGTTCAAAGGAGCCTGTATATGCATGGTAGTGATTGTGTGGATTATTTGCCTTTTATGTTCCATGTTACATATTGGGAGAACCTTCTGCTCTAATGCTGTCCATCAGTTCTTCTGTGAAATCCCATCATTACTGAAGCTCTCCTCCTCTAACCTCTACCTGGTTGAAGTTGGGCTTCTTGTGCTAAGCTCTAGTATAGCACTAGGTTGTTTCGTTGTAATCATCTTAACATATATGCAGATCTTTTCTATCCCTTCTGTTCATGAAAATCCCTTCTGTCCACCTGCATTCCCCACCTCACTGTTGTCTGTGTGTTTGTCTTTTATATGCCATGTTATTGTCTAGATTCCAACACACACACACCTGGTTAGTAAGCGTGCAATTTGCACATACAAGGCAGCATGTGACTAGACCCTTCCATGCACCCCTCCTGCTTATGTAAATTATGCTTCCCACTTCCCCCCAGCAGCTTTTGGGCAGACTGGAGCTAGTGTGATATAAATGAGCGGGATGCCACTTCCTGTGTCTGTTCTCCCCACCAGAATCACAACACAAAATTTTGCAGAGGCAGGAAGATCAGCAGCTGTGGGTAACATTCACCAGACCCACGAGGGCTGTGAGTTGCCCACATGTTCTTTAGACATTTGCCTCTGTGCTGGTGAGTAGACAACACTGGTGCCGTGAAGCTCCGGGAAGCCAAGTCTATCCTTGGTCATGGCAGTGAAATCAAATATCAGAGTTTTCACACAGCTGAATCTTAAGAGATGTAAGAGAAATCCCCATGTGATCACCCTAGCTTTAATGATCCACACTGAGAATAAAATAGGCTACAGTAAGCAGTAAGTTAAGTTGAACAGCTGCTCTAATGAATGATTAATGAACAGTTTATTGTTTCAGACCAGGTATGTGGATATTTCCTCTTTTTGCTGTATATAATGTTGTAATTCTCACTTATTAATTCGATTTTTTTCCTTATCACAGAGTTGAGACTCTGTAAGGAAATTGTGATGGTGGGAAACCTCATCATAGTTTAAAACTTCAGGTTTATGGCTTTGAAGTTTTGCTAGCACTTAATCATAGGTATGCCCTGTTCCATTTTATGAAAGTGTCCACAAAAGTTTAAATTCAAATTATATGAATTTTGTATGTAAAGTACATATTTTTGTGTGTACTTCAATTTTAATTTCTTTGTTGAATTTTCTTTTGTAACTATAAGCTTTCCTAAGATCCTGAACGCACTTAGGAAACAGAAACAAAAGACAGCCTCTACATACTAGGTCTTTGGTCAGTTGGTGGGTGGGTGCAATGGCTCTCACATATAAAAAAACTGAAGCAGGATTCCTTTTCAGATGTTCCACTTTCTGAAAGCAGAACTTTACCAAAAAAATCTATCACAAATGCATGACCCAAATTTCTTATACCATTCTTGCTCCATCCTCTGTCAGGGGCTGATCTGAATTGAAAGATTGGGGGATGCAATCGCAGGAAGATCAGCTCCTAACAGAAGAGGAGGGGAAATATTTGCCGCCGCCACCCTGCTTCCAGCATTTCCAGAAGCAGAGAGACATGCAGTCACAGAGGCTGCTCAGTTGAGAGAAGAGCTACCCAGTTATAAGACAGTAGGTAAGCAACCAGTAGGGAGGGAGCAGCTGGGTGATACATCAATAGAGAGTGGGGGAGAACCCCCTCCCTCCCCCTGAACTCAGAGATCTGATCATGTCAGAGAACAAAGGAGGAACTTCCCGTGGGCACACTTCTTGCTGCGAAAGTGGGGAGGAGTCAGAGTAGGCAACTGATATCCGTGCAGAGGGTTCCTGTTTGTGCTTCTAACACAATGCTGTAATAAAAGGACTATAAATCTACCATATGCTCGTTAATTCTTGTCATTGAGCTACCAGAAGGGAAAAGGGAATTCTCATACTTGACACACTCGTTTTCTTGTCCTCAATCTCATACATACAATTCTTAGTAACATCACACTTTTGTGGGGTACTTTTGGTTACAGTTCCATAGCACAATGATCCTGAATGGAAAAGAAAATATCTCAGGAACAGTTATGACCAATTCAACTTGTATAATAAATATCAGGGAAGTGAAGAACAATATCCTAGTTTCTAACTTTTACTTATCTTTTACTCAGAATTCAAAATCAGTAATGAGGGACTCATCAATATCTCAGAAGAAATGTATGACATAAACTACTTCCTTTTACTTCCTTCTTCTTGTTAAGTGTTCCTTGTTGTTCAGCTCAGGCTTCATGACAATTATATAGCATTTTGGAAAAAAGATGCAAGCTAATAATCCAGCACTAGAAGCTAAGATGGAGAAGATCTCCACAGCCACCATGTGTTTCCCCTTTGTGCTCAGATAAGTAGGAACAAAAGAGAGCCACACACTGCAAAACACCAACATGCTGAAAAGTGATGAACTTGGCTTCATTAAAAGTGTTGGGCAATGCCCTAGCAAGAAAAGCCACAACAAAGCTAACAAGAGCCAGAAGTCCCATGTAACCAAGAACAAAATAAAACATAAGAGCAGACCCTTCATTACATTCAACCACAATTTCTTTAGGCAAAGATTCCATGTTCAAATCTGGGAATGGGGGGTCAATCCAGAGCCACACAGTACAAAGAGCTCCTTGAATGAAGGAACAGGAGAAAACAATAGAAGCTGCCAGTCTTTTCCCCACCCAGTTCCTTATCCTGGATCCTGGCCTTGTAGCCATGAATGCTAAAACTACAGTAATAGTTTTTGCCAGCACTGAAGAAACAGCCACAGTGAAAATGATGCCAAAAGCTGTTTGCCTTAGGAGGCAGGTTACTGTTTGAGGTTTCCCAATAAACAGGAAAGAACAGAGGAAGCAGAGCAGTAGGGCAATAAGCAGAGTGTAGCTGAGCCCTCGGTTGTTGGCTTTGACAATGGGAGTGTTGTGGTATTTAATGAACATCACTAGCACCAAAGCTGAGATCACAGAAAATGAAAATACAATGAAAGCTAAAGTGATGCTCAAAACATCATTGTAAGCTAAAAAATTTAAAGCCTTTGGTAGACATCCATCTTGGTCTCCATTTGGATACTGATCTTCTGGGCATTCAATACAATTGTCCATTCCTAGAAAAGATAGAATGCATTATGTTGTGGAGATGATGATACATACATCTCTGAAACAAGTACGTAGGTTTCTCTGAAGTACCCTTGAAAAGCAATATTTACAATTCTATAGAATGGTTCTTACACATTTTCAGTATTGTCAGTATGGGGGCCATGGTCCCTCATGAGTAATCTTTTTGGCCTCCATTCCAGTGGTAGGTGAGGCTAGAGACAAACTTAGTTGCATTAGGAGGTCAGAATAGCTGGAGAAACAGATGTAACCCTTACATTTATATTTATTCCAGCTGTGCCAAGTTCAAAGGTTTCTACACATACACACATCTCCATCCTCCATCTAGACAAGCAAGAGGCATTTTCACAATTGAAGGACACATTCTAGCCAGGCAAAGCAATCATGGAGGACATGAAGGTAAGCGGATGACAGTGGTTATATGGGGTGAGGAATATGGCTTGGGGAGAGAGCACAAACTGATAAGAGTCCCATGATCTAGATAGCACTCCTCCCTTTGGCCTTTGTTAAGCTGAATTCATACACAGGAAGGACAGTATGTGCAACCTCACTCTCAACTCCCCCCCCCCACATAAAAAATTAATTGTTCAGTGTCTAGTGAAATAATTCATTATGATGTGTGCTGTTAACATAAAAAGGTAAAGGTACCCCTGCCCGTACGGGCCAGTCTTGACAGACTCTAGGGTTGTGCGCCCATCTCACTTAAGAGGCCGGGGGCCAGCGCTGTCCGGAGACACTTCCGGGTCACGTGGCCAGCGTGACAAAGCTGCATCTGGCGAGCCAGCGCAGCACACAGAAACGCCGTTTACCTTCCCGCCACTAAGCGGTCCCTATTTATCTACTTGCACCCGGGGGTGCTTTTGAACTGCTAGGTTGGCAGGCGCTGGGACCGAACAAGGGGAGCGCACCCCGCTGCGGGGATTCGAACTGCCGACCTTTCGATCGGCAAGCCCTAGGCACTGAGGCTTTTACCCACAGCACCACCCGCGTCCCTGCTGTTAACATATCCACCCTTTAATACAATAGTTAACATTGCTGAGTATATTGTAAAGTTGCTAATATATGCACACAAACCTAATTTAATATTTACAGAAGGTAAGGAAAGTCTTAGAACACTCATTT